AAGCCGCGAAGAACCCGAAACCCTAAACCCCTAAACCCGTAAGCCCCTAAACCCCTAAACCCCCTAACCCCTAACCCCTAAAGCCTAAACCCCAAACCCTCCAAGCAAACCCTACACCCCTAAGCCCATCCGGCCGGTGAAGCTCCAGGTTTGGGAAATTCCGAGGCCCGCACTTAAGAGCCTCAATCAGACGACAAGGGCTATTGACAAGGAGTCACCCACCAAAACCCTAAACCCTAAACCCTACACCCTAAACCCTAAAGGTACTATTGGGCAACCAGGTTGAGAAAACACCCCAGCGAAATCTCCTTCAACGCTGCCTATGGGGCGTTGGGAAGTCTGGAGTGCCTACAAAAGATGCCTGCATAATTGCCACTCTCTAGGTTCCCTTAGTACAACTATACCCAGAAGTTACCCCAAAACCCTATTCTAGATGTTAAGGCCCCTATATTAGGCTTGGGATGAAAAGAAAGTCTATGTTTCAATAAACGACCCGGGCTGCCGCTTCGCAGTCTGCGCATGGCATTTTCCCCCTGTGCTCAGGCTCCCACTGCTTTCGGCATTCGGGGGAGAGCGCTGCCCATCATAGCATGTACTTAAGCTTACATCAACACCTAAAAGTTGAATAAAGTCTAAGTCCTCGGCGAAAACGCCTTCGAGACAAACTGGCATAAACGCTGCCTGCCGAAGGGAGGAAGCATTCAGGATGAAACCCCTCCACCCGAAACTGAAATCCGAGAACCAAACCCCGCGCCTGTCCTTCTGAACTGCAAATCATCCCCAAGCCCACCTCCAAACCCTATCAGCTGCAAGCTCTCTTTATCAGACCTGTAATGTAAAAACTAACGTAGTAGAAGACATTAGCCGCACGGCGTCAAGCACGCTGTACACCTGCCTAAGGGCCTGATAGGGGCCATTAAGCCCCACACACCGACCGAAGTTACGAAGGCCGTAAGGGGCCCTTAAACCCTAAACCCTATAAGCCCTACTAAGGGCTTTCCCTCTCCCCCTCCTCCAGAAAAGGCGGTGCCCCCGCAGCCAATAAGGTCTGGCTCCGGACAGGATTGCCAGCTGGGGATCGTAGGCTTGCGCCTTCGAAGGCTTTTGGGCCTTAAGTGTTTGAGCTTAGGGTTTCGGCTTAGGGTTTAGGGTTTAGGCTTAGGATGGTTTAGGGAGTTTGAGCTTAGGGCTTGGCGCTTATTAACCAAAAACCCAAACCTGAAACCTAAATTCCTAAAATACCTGAGTTCTCTGATGCTAGGATAACTATTAAACCCTCATTTAGGAAAGGGGCTTATTGATCAGGGATGTCTACATTACTGTTTGAAAATGAAGCCACTCACGACTGTAAAATCTTGAGTATAAACCCTAATGCCTTTCAGTTCTGTGGCGTAGACCTCTGATTAACCAACCCTGCTTCCTTGAGCAAGAATATTCGGATCCTAATATCATCCTTCACAATAAACGCTACGTACTGCGTTACTGTCTTCGAGCCTTTCAGTTCTCTAAGATCCCATACCCTCAACCCTAAAACCAAAACCATTAAACGGGACCCTATAAAGGTTGCCTTGTTGTAGAACCCTATAGCCTGTAAAGGGGACCTTATCATGGGGTTTGGGACCTGATTATAGCACCCTAAAGCCGTAAAATGTACCATATTAAACCTTATAACCCCCAAAGGAGACCCTATTCTGGAACCCTATAGCCTTCAAAAGGGTACTTGATTAAAGAACCCGTATAGCCTTTAAAGGGGACGTTACTTTCGAAAGCCCTAAACGTTAAAACGTCATCCTCAGACCCCTATAGATCCTTTAAAGAAACCCGTATCCTTAAAGGAGCCCTTAAAGGAACAGCCTATTAATTACCCCCCCAAACCCTAAACGCTATAGAACCCTAAACCTTCATAACGGAGTCCTCAGACCCCCCTATGGATCCCTTAAAGGAACCCCTGTCCCTAAACCCTAAACCCTAAAGCCCTAAACCTATAGATCCCTTCATTGCACCCAAAAACCCTAAACCCTATACCCCTAAACCCTCATAAAGGAGTCCTCAGACCCTATGGATCCCTTAAAGGAGCCCCTGTCCCTAAACCGTAAACCCCTAAACCTATAGATCCCTCAGTTACAAACCCTCAGACCCCTATTAGACCCTAAACCCTAAACCCCTAAACCTATAGATCCGTTAATTCCAACACTATAGAACCCTATAAACCCTCATAAAGTTTCAAAGGAGTCCTCAGACCCCTATTAGACCCTAAACCCTAAACCCTAAACCATATATTAGATCCCTTAAATTGGGCTTTGCCAGGCCCAGGTTCGAGCCATGCAGCCAAAGGATTCCCTGGCCGGCGAGTGAAACCGAGGATTGCGCCACAAACCTGGACCTGTCCTACGCTTCCCTTTTCAAAGGGTTCCGCTAGCAGTTATGTAAAGGGCTCCTTGAAGGGGTTTCTTCAGGGGTTCCTCTAAAGGGGGGTGTCGGTGGAGTTTTGGGTGAGTCAGTTGCTTCTTTTGTATGCTTTTTGAGGCTGGGAGGTTTCATTCGGCGTTGTGGATGGGGGGCTTTGCATTTAGGGTTCTGTTGCCGGGGTCACTAGAATACGATCTGGGTAGAGGGCTCTTAGGTTGGTGTAGGGAAAAAGTTCTACTGTGGAAACGTCGCATGTGCGAGTGCTGGCTGTGCGTCACTCGGACCTGTGGCAGTCCTGGCGGAGGAAAATGCCACAGGGAATTACAAGCGGAAGGAGCTGGCTTTCGGGCTTTACACGGGCCGTAGAACGAGTTCTATAATTAAGAGTTTATCATCGGTCTGCTAGCAATATCTATGATCAGGATGGCAAGAAAGCACCTTGCTCCGTTGAAAAAACGCCTCACAAGACCAACCACACCTCAAAAGACAGAATGGAATAGCGAGGCAGAATACTTAGAACATGGCTTAGGGATATATTTATATTCCGTCCTTGAACGTTAAGAGTCTCAGACGCCGCGATCCCAGTTAGCTAAATGAGTGGTTTCGTATTGTAGAGTGCACTTGAGGGGCATCCGTCGAGCCCGTGGGATCTTGAAGTCGGGGGGAATAGGGAGGCCACATTGATTGGAACAAGGGTTTTTGGTGGTACATTACAGTATATGTTATAGCATACTATGGCGTGTGCATATATATATATATATATAAAGTTAATAACAGTAAAAATGATGATCATAATAATAATAATAATAGTGATAGTGACAATGATATTGATCATAATAATAATCATCATAATCATAATCGTAATAGTAATAATATAGCCGTGACAAGGAATCCTAAGGGTTGATATCGGTGATTCTCCGACGTCTTTGATTCTGTTAGATTACCCCAAACCCTAAACCCAGACGTACTTCCTGGTGTGGCAGCGGGAATTTACTCAAGCCGCGGGTTTGGACTTCGGTTTGGGCTGTGCCTGAAATTCGAAGCCAAAACTCGTCGCTCTCAACCCTCAAGCGGGCTCCTTGCCTGTATCAGGTTCCTACATGTTGCTCTGAGCCCCTAAACCCAAAACCCTAAACCCCTAAACCCTAAATGATCTAAGTACAGTCGTAGTCTTAGTCTGAACTCAGTCTGTCCCTGAACACTTTGCAAAACCCTAGAAATCCTGAACTCTACACCCCCAACCCCACAATTCCATAGACCCCGAACCCCTGCCTGCACCCTCGAAAGCCCACAGCTCTAAATGGTCATTCGTACATTAGGATGTTCTTTGATATGTGCTTAACAGGGTCAGCTGTCTAAACCCTGCATCCCAGGAAGCTCTACATCCCCCAAACTCACAACCGGGTAAAGACGTCTTAGAACACGTTCCTCCCTGCAAGACAAGGGAGGGGCCCCTAAACCCTAAGCCCCAACACCAAAAGTCTGAAACTGAGGCTTTCGGCTTGCTGAGGGGGTTGTGGTGGAATACAGGTTTAGGACTTTGGGGGGGTCGGATGAAGATCGGAGACTTCGGGCGTCAACACATCCACATGAAACGCCTAGGACTTTCCTGAAGTGTACGGTATTTGCTTGTGCCAGTGGGCTAGCGGTTTCTTCTCACATTCGTCCTCTGCCTCCACTAGATCATCATCGTCCTCCTTCTTGAGCATGATCACAACGATCAGCAGCCGCGTCACCAGCACTGAGTCAATGGCTGCCGGCACCGTCACAACCCACATCACCGCCATCGTCAGCGGCTTTCTCCTCAGCAACCTCATCCCAATTCACATGTTGATGCTGCAACGATGATGATATCGCTCATAGTCACCACAAGGACCATAAACATCAACTTCGTCCTGACCGTCATTGCAATACATCATGTTCGTCCTCATCTTCGCAGCACCATCATCACCACACTCATTCCAGTAGGCTCAAACACTGTCATCCTCATCGCCAGCACTATCGTTGTCGTCATGTTCGTCAGCATCATCACCTCAACCAGCAGCCTGCGATGCTTCTTACCACTATTGTAAAAGTAATGCTATGGCGATTCCTCTTGCTGCTACTGTTACTGTTACTGCTACTGCTACTGCTGCTGCTACTGCTGCGGCTACATGTACTGCTGCTGCTACTGCTACTGCTACTGCTACTGCTCCTGCTCCTGCTCCTGCTCCTGCTCCTGCTCCTGCTCCTGCTCCTGCTCCTGCTCGTGCTCCTGCTCCTGCTCCTGCTGCT